TATATATATATATATATATATATATATATAATAAAAATTAAAATTATAATGAAATTGTAGGTACATAATAAATTTGTTACATACGATGTGTAATCTCAAATATTACCCATAAAAATGCCTTAATTTATAACAATATTTTTAAATCTAAAAAAATATTATGTAAATCTTATACATGTATAAAATATGAAAAAATTAATCAATATTTTTGCATTTTCTTAAATACACATGTTTGAAAAGCCGTGTGTAGAAAAGTAATCATTCAAAATAAAAGCTTTCAAAAAAATAAGGAGTTCTACCATATATGGTATGCAACTTAAAACGACAACGAGAAAAACAAGAAACCGAGAACACGATTACCTTTTATTCGTGCGAACAAACATGGACCTCGGCGAAAAGAAACGCAAACACTTCGACGAACATGTTCTCGCTCACCGATTCGCGACACCGTCCTATTCGCGCGAGTGCGTCGAATCGGAACGACGCACCGCCGATTGCAAGACGGAACTTCCGATTGCGACAGCTCTTCGCCGACAACAATCGTTCCTCAAGCGCGAGAGACGAGAACAAGATATCGACCCTCGCTTGGAAAATTACATGGCAATTAATAATGCGAAAATACACAAATATAGTACTTTACTTTGTTATATTAAAATAAATATTGGCATAAGAAATTATGTGTTTTAGCATATAAGTAACTTTATAACTTTATTTTATTTATGATTTATAATTTTACTTTACTTATCTTAGATAAATTTATTTTTAATCATTTTGTTTTTTTCTAGCCGCATTCGTGAATTCAATTAAATATTCTCAGCAATTTTAAATAATTAATTTATTTTCGCTTACCTTATATTCGCAAGAATGTTTTCTTGATTATCACATTCGGTTTTACGTATTCATGGATATCGTAGCGTTCAATAATTTTATACAGTTCATGCATGATAAATACTTTTGATTAAGTGGAAAATGTTATTCGATAAATTTTCAGTAATATTTATTGTTGCAATCGGTCAAGCGCAATTTATGTCTTTAATCCATCATATAATTTTTCAAGAAGAATCAATCGAAATAGTGTTGTTTCTATTTTGCACAATCTACTCTAACTGATAACTCCATATTACTTTGTATTACCTTTAGTCTTTAGAATATTGTTAATCTTTGTAAATTCAAGAATCTCTTTCTCTCGTTTAGCTTAAAATCACTATGAAAAAAGCTATAAGTTGCGCATAGTTAATTTTTTATTAATTATAAACATAACATTTCAATACTGACATTTACATTTCTATTTCAGGTAAGATCATTACTTTTGTTGTGAGCCGCATCCCTAGTTAGCATGTTGCGGTGAGTATATTTATATATTAATAAATAATGCGGAACAGCACTCTCTAAGAAGCATCCAGCTCAAATAATCTTATCCGATAAACAGTCTGATGAATTAAATGCCAATTATAAACATGATTATAGAACGAGATATCAATATAAATACAAGTACAATAAGTCGCAAATTTACAAATTTGATAGTATAGATTGAAATATGCGAAACTGTGGAAATTTTTATCGTTCAAATATTCAAATGATCGATAAATAAGCACAGCGTTATACGTGTGATTAATTAAAATTCGTAAAATAGGAGAGCACATTATTATGCTGTTCGCAAGAGGTTAAGCAACATGTTACGCTAGGAAAGATACGTGTCCAAGGCATAATGTATATATATACACGCGGTGTCAGAGCACACCCGCCGGCTTAGCCGGCGGCGTTTGAAAATAGATCGGGGAACGATAAAGTACAGCCGTGTCGGTGAGCTATCGAGGCTTTGCGCAATAATCGCAGATAGATTTATGCTAGATGAGATCGTTGTGAAAACGATCGACTCGCAAATCGCGACGGGGTGAAATGCCTCGGCTAGAAATGTCTAGTAGTAATCGGTTACTCGAAGTACCGATGCGACATTGACCGGTCTAGTCGTTTTCTGTAATATTACACACATGATCACTTTCGTAATACTTTTGTAATAAAACTGCGAACATGCGTTCTTAAAAAAAAATTGCAAACTTAATATTTATTTTGAAACATTGCGGATCATTTAAATATTACTTTAAAAATATATATCAAGTTAATATAATTATTTTAATTACTAAAAACGATAATATATTATCGATTTTACGACTAAAAACGATATAATATATTATGCATCTTAAAGAGAAATGTGGTTAACGTAAATGTGGTTAGCGTAACAGTATCAATCAACATTACGAATAAAAAGTCGATTACAGAGAAAGCCATTAAAATTCTCGTCTTATATTCATATCTTCAATTCGTATAGAAAAGTACGTATTTTTTTCTTTCCTTTTTTTCGTGCTCAAATTGCGCAATTCGTAAAAGAGTAAGAGGGATCTAACTGACAAAAATGGACCCAGGAGCGGGTTACGGTCAGTCCCCGATCCGGGTCCGGAAATGATTTTGGTGCCGCGGGCGGGGAAAGTGAGGCTAGCTTGACAGACGTTTCTCCCCTTGCTACTCGCCTTCTTCGACAGCCGAGTTTGCGCTACCGAGATAGCCACCAGCTAAGCCCCGGGTGTGTATCGACAGTGTAATGAAGGGCGATTGAAATGTCGCGCAACAGAATATTTATTGTTGTTTCCACAGTAGAGCGCCGTTTATTGGAACTACATTTATCGTAGCTATTTCGTATCGAGCAAACTAAACTAGTGGAGAACGTACCGTTGCAGATCCGTCATTTCTAAGATTTTATTTTCTTTCAATGTAAATTTCAATTGATAATTTTCCATAATACGAAAGAAATTTTTCTATGAATTTATAAATGCCGTTTGGCGTATAAATGTTAGGGATTATAAATCTTTGACGTTTTTTCAACACTACAGTTTCGTAATACCAAAGAATATTGATCTTACACAGTATATTTTTGCTCATTTGCACGGATCTTTCGTTACATAAATGTGTTTTACATCATAACTTAGAAAACGGCATAAAACAAGTGATTAATTTTATAAAACTTTTCTATTATAGATTCTTAATATCGCTAATGATAGCATTTATAAAGCATAAAGATTAAAGATTCTTACATTAATCAAATTCTTAGTTTTGTTCACAAATCTCTGATTGAATAGTTTTTTCATAGATCTTTACATCTATCTAAATATTTTCTCGATACGCCTGAATAAAAAAATCCAGGGAATTGTCGGCAAGATAAAATTTCGTATGTCTGTATCGTGAATTTGTCGTCGACGTTTTAGCAGCTGAGAGTGACTCGAAGCGAAAGAGAAAGAGACAGGGAAAGAGAGAGAGAGACCTAGATTTCATTTTCGTTGATGAGCTTGGCAGCGATCCAACTCGCCTAAATATATACTCCCTTTTTCTCCGTCTTTCTCTCTCTCTACTACCTTCTCCTTCTCATTTTCGTCGGAAACGGATCATTCCCGGTTCGCGAAACTACCGGGAAGGCTGGAGAACATTGCCAGAAATTGTCTTAATACGAACTGAGATAAGATGTCAAAAATTAAAGTGCATATCTGATTTTGATCTAATAACGACTTAAAACGAAAATTAACAACGAATTGCAGAGATTAACCAATTTCAATATTCAAAAATATGTAAGGTGAATAAAAATCAACTGCCGATATAAATATTAGCACAATAAACGATTACTGTTTAGTTCAGAGCTTTTGTCAACTTTCGTAAAAATAATAGAGGGACACAATTTCTCGTATACCTCGAATTTAAACAAACAGAAAAAAGAAAAGTAGAAAATTGACAGTGTACTGTGAACCGTCAGCTGCCGATTTCACCGGTACAGCAAAAAACGCATAAAAAAGACGAAGGCTATTCCGAATTCACTTTGCGCCGAGAGAAGCGGGCGGACCCGTTCGCCGATTCGTGCAACGGTATTCGAGAGGACCGCTTGTTAAACGCCTGATTGTCGTAACATAATTTACGACGGAATCCATCTGAAAATTTCACCTTACAACCCACGTGTGGTTACAACGCTGCGGGTTCCAAAAGCCGAAAGAGCGCAATGAACCCGTATGAGAAAGTGTCCCCCCCCCCTTGCGCGCGTCGATTTCGACTATTATATGTTCGGCAAATTGCAAGCCAGCTTAAATCGGCTATCGAAGGAAACGGCTCCGAGACTTTCGACCTTGGGATATCGCGTGCGAGTTCGATGTGACGGCTCTTTCAACTAGCATGGTTACTGCGCTCCAATAATTCGCTGGTAGACGCGGAAAATATCGCATAAGCGCGGAGTTTGCACATAACGAGTTCGTATGCTTCCTGTGATTAAACTTTATACGTAGCGCTCTGTAGGTGATTCTATAAGTTTAATAGCAGAAACATGGCTTGAAATGGAAATTGAATAGTTGCAAGAAAAGAAATGAAAATACGCGGAAGCACAAATTTTACTTTGACGAGTTGAAAACAGATATTCGCTTAACGAAAATTTGATACAAGACTGTCATCAATCTTAATCTTTTACTTTTCAACGTTCGGTGATTTATTAATTAAAATTCAAACCAGCCTTGTTGGTTTTCTCTTTAGCAATCGCAAATATTATTTTTTTTTATTAATATTGTTTATAATTTATTCAAATTCATACATATAAATTGCTGGTGGATTGAAATCTTTACATATAAATTGTAGACATTCCCTCTTCATTTTTCTATTTATTATCACGCTGCTGATA